GTTACGAAACTGCGCTGTTATGGAAGGAAAATGATGTCAAACTCCCAAACAATTACGACAATGCCTACAAGCGGTTATTGTCAACAGAAAGGAAAATAGATAAGAACCCAGAGTTACGCGAAAAGTATGAAGCACAAATGAACTCACTAATAGAAAAAGGATACGCCGAGCTTGCCCCCGTAGAAAAGAATAGCAACACTTGGTATCTCCCTCATTTTCCTGTGATTAACGTAATGAAGCCAGGGAAGATCCGCGTAGTCCACGACGCCGCCGCCAAGACCAAAGGAGTGTCTCTTAACGACCACTTGCTGACGGGCCCCGATTTACTACAATCGCTACCCGGGGTCCTGATGCGGTTCCGGCAACATCCAGTGGCCGTAACCGCGGATATAGCTGAAATGTTCATGCAAGTAAAGGTCCGAAAAGAAGATCGCGACGCTCAGCGGTACTTATGGAGAGGCTCCGCGAGGGGAAACCAACCACCGCTAGAATATAGAATGACGTCACTCATTTTCGGAGCGACGTCTTCCCCCGCGACAGCTATCTACGTGAAGGACACAAACGCAGAAAAATACCAAGAATCGAACCCGGCAGCTTATAAGGCCATAGTGAGATGTCATTATGTGGATGACTACCTGCAGAGCTTCAGAACCGAAGAAGAAGCAATTCAAATAGCAAAGGACGTCCGAGATATTCACCGAGAAGCCCACTACGAATTGAGGCAATGGGCCTCGAATAGCCATAGCGTAGCCGAAGCTATGGGCGCCTCCGGACGAACGCCGAACTCACTACTCGAAGAGAGTTTCGAGAGAGTCCTGGGACTCAATTGGAACCCCCAAGCTGACCACCTGTCATTCAACTTGGGGCTAGACAGACTTCCGGATAGCATCTTGGAAGGCAAGGAGCCTTCCAAGAGAGATGTATTGAGAGTGGTGATGTCTCTTTTTGACCCGCTCGGCTTCGCCGCGCCAGTTACCGTACGCGCGAAGCAAATTTTACAAGAAACATGGCGTCGAGGTGTCAATTGGGACGATCATCTAGGAGACAGCCTAACAGAACAGTGGCATGAATGGATCACGCACCTTCGAGCTCTCGAAAACATCAATATCCCAAGATGTTACCGCCTATATAGCAACGCTGCAAACATACAACTACACACATTCGTCGACGCCAGCGAAACCGCATACGCCGCCGCATTGTACTGGCGTATAACAACCGAAGACGGGAGCGTGCACACATCGCTAGTGCTCGCCAAGGCACGAGTCGCCCCGCTGAAGCTAACATCGATACCTCGCCTAGAACTGCAAGCCGCGGTAATGGGATGTCGCATGGCAGCGGCCGTGATAGAAGAACATGATCAAAGAGTGAACGAAAAGATATACTGGACAGACAGCCGCACCGTTCTCGCCTGGATACATAACGGCGCCCGTTCGTATCGGCCATATGTCGCGCACCGCATCGCCGATATAGAGGAAAATAGTAAAGTCGATGAATGGAGATGGGTGCCGACCAAGCACAACGTAGCCGACGACGCCACAAGAGACGTGCCCGCCGGATTCGATATGAAACATCGCTGGTTTCATGGGCCGGACTTCCTACTCGCCGACCCAACAGAATGGCCTGAAACGACGTCCGACGAGCCCTACATAGCCACGGGCGAAGAAAAGGCAAAGATCGTCACCGTCACTACAGTAAGGAAATCGTCAAGTGCAGTGCAACAATGTGTACCCGACTACACACGCTTCTCAAAGTGGGAACGCCTACATAGAGCAACTGCACGCGTCCTACAATTTATACAACTCTGCAAACAGCGTCGACGCGAAACCGTCCTTTACAAGAGAAATAGGAAGAATACAGAAAAGGACCCTTCGTGGCAACGGAACAGTCGTACGGCAAATATAGTGAAACAGCGA